TTATCTATTGAAGTTAAATTGTTTTTAAGCATAAGATTATCAAATACACATTTGAAATATGTTTTAGTCTGACTTCACTGTATGCTGTTCAATGAATGAATGAATGTTATATTTAGAGGAATTATACATATTTTGCAGTACCATTGTTAAGTACATTATCAACAGATAATCTTCTCTTATTGTCAGTTTACTGAATTTACTTTATAATGTGAAAATCTATTTAAAATTCAGAATAAACGACTTAATTGTGATCTATAATTTGTTGCTTTTATCCCGTTTGATCTAGATATATAGTGATAAATGTATGTTTCAAAGAAACTTCAGAGTGCTCAAAATGTCGAACGTCACACTTCACAAACTACCAGTTGAATAAATCTGTTATATTCTGACGAGAATTATGAATGGTAACTCTTGGGTACTATTTATGGATATATTTTTTATACAATTATTAAGTAGCTAAACTATGCACATTTATGCTCCTCTTGTTATAAGCTTTATTTCAACCCATAGACTATTATTATACGATTTACAATTCCTGAGTTATGCCCAGTCTATTAATTAGTCTCGCAAATTCACAGCCACATTTGGCTGAATATTGTACAAATGTTGTTTCTATTTTATGGCAATTTGGTTGGCATGTAAATTCAGTATGTTTGAAATATAATGATTCATACTGCAGAGGCTGTTATTGGTGTTCTGGACTTAACTGGCTGGCCTAGGAAAGAAGCAGGACCAACAAGTACTCTATCCTGCTCGCACGGGTTTTATACGTCATTGGTTGGATCGGTAAGTCTCTGTTCCCTGATTGGTGGTATCGTTACGTTATATATCAATAGGGCACAAGGCCAAAAGTCATAACACTATCTTTGCATCTGAGTTAGTAATCTTGGCAAATTTCATGAATTCCATGAGATCATATAGACTAGGTGATCACAAAGAACTTTCAGTTGTTGAATTATTCAGATTAATTTAACAACTGGTACAAAGACGATTCATTTTGCAGCTAAGATGATTAGAAAGTAAATTAAAATGAGGACAGTAACATACAAGCTGACAGGAAGAAGTGAAGAATGCATTAGTACAGTCAGTCAGTTACAACGTAGAACTTCGTACGTATGTACATCAGTTCGAGTTGCCATACCACATTAGTACGGAGATGCAGTTGTCGATTCAAATCCCATAGTGGTAGAAGTAGTAGGAGTATAATCAGAAATCCAAAAGATTAGGGTTTGAAGAAATTATTGAAGGAGTATAGTACAAAGAAATAAATTTAGAAAGAGAAAAAAGATGAAGACATTAAGAGTTCAGAAGATTAGAAGTTGGTAGAACACAAAGAGTGTATGCACCTTCGCCATTGCAAACGATTTTGAGCCATCTCATTCAAGGTCTCTAACCATCGGTTGCTATCATCTCGCGAATCCCAACCAGGTAGTCTACACCTGCCAACATGGCTCAGTTCAATTGTCAGTGATTTCATTGATTTGTGCCACGTTTTGGTCTGGCCACCCCTAGCTTTCTTCCAACCTACTCCTACACCATGAAACATCGCACGTCGGGGCAGTCGGTGGTTGGGCATACGTAACACATATCCCAGCCATCTCAACTGATGAAGTTTCACTACTTCATCAATTTATTTGCCATCCTTACCTAGTACTCGTTTCCTAACAACTGCATTACTTACCCGGTGATCCCAGGATATACGAGCAATGCTTCGAAGACACCTGTGATCAAATACTAGTAGCCTACGAATATCCTCTACTCTTATTGGCCATGTTTCACTGCCAGAAAGTAGGACGGAGCGAACTGCTGCACAGTAAACCCGTCTTTTGGTTGCTAGACGGATATCTCGCCTACGCCATAAATGACGCAAGTTGGTAAAAGCTAGACGAGCCTTCTGTATCCGTGCTGAGATTTCGTCACATACCAGACCACAAGGGCTGATGAGACTCCCAAGATAAGTGAAGTGGTCTACACGCTCAACTACTTCACTCCCTATCATTAGTTCAGGTGTCGCCGCAACCCAATCCTGAAGTAACATTTTGCACTTCGATGGAGAGAATCGCATCCCGAACATGCCTCCATAGTTGCTTATAGTGGTCAGAAGACTTTGCATGTTGCCAGCGTCCTCACCAAGTAAAACTATGTCGTCGGTGTATTCTAAGTCGACAAGTGATTCTCCCGGTAAAAGTTCAACTCCAGGAGATTGAGATAATGAAAGTGACATCTCTAAAAGAATGTCAATGACAAAGTTAAACAAGAATGGGGAGAGTGGACAGCCCTGACGAACACCACTTGAGGTAACCAATTCTGATGACAGTTCGCCATAGGCTCTAACTCGACCAGTTGTGTTCGATTAGAGAGCCTTTATGAGGTTAATGTACTTCTTTGGTACTCCTTTCACTGACAAACATTGCCATAGAACCTCATGATCAACGGAGTCAAATGCCGCCTTAAGGTCAAGAAATACTACTTTTGTTGGACGTCTGAATGTATGTCTATGTTCTAGGACCTGACGTAGAGTGAATATCTGGTCTATGCAACCACGTCCAGGTCGAAAACCAGCCTGGTTTTCTCTAGTCTGCTCTTCATGAGCTTTGGTTAGGCGACCTAGTATTATTGAAGCTAATATTTTAGACACTATATTAGTCAAACTGATCCCTCTGTGATTGTCACAGGAGGACTTTTGTCCTTTCTTATAGACTGGCACAATCAGTGATTGGGACCAGTCAGATGGAATTACGTCCAGTTCCCAGATTCTACCTAAGAACTCAGTTAATCTCACTGCTAGTACTGGACCACCATCCTTAAAAATCTCAGGGGTCAACCTGTCAGGGCCTGCGGCTCTCCCTCGCTTTAGATTTCCTATAGCTTTTTCAACCTCGTAGAGGGTTGGAGGACTTACATCAATTTGCCATTCAGGACGACTGGGGATCGTGGGTAATTGAAGTGTGGCTGAAGGCCAGTTGAACTGATTCCTAAAGTGTTCTGCCCATCGATCCAATCTCTTGGATTGAGAATGAATGAGATGCCCATCTTTATCTAAGATGGTTTCACTGATACTTGGGTTTCTAATGCTGGTTTCTTTGATAAGTCTGAATAGCTGCCAACTGTTACCTATTGCCGCTGCCTTTTCCATCTCTCTTGCTTTCGCTACCCACCACTATTCACGATCATTGCGTAGGCTTCTTATTAGCCTTCGCTTAAGTTGACTTCGCTCTTCGTTATGTTCAGAGCCAGGTGGGATGAGTTTTCGAGCATCTATCAGTGCGGTAGATGCTGCCGAGATCCATTGTTTCTTCCTAACGTTATGGCTTACCTTACTAGCGGATATCACTGCTGTTTCAAAAGCTTTTCGGATGTCATTCCACGCTGCCTCGGGATGGGCATCACTTACATGGCTGCCTAACTGTTTTTCTAGTTTTTCCTGTAATATATTCTTAGCTTGCTTATCATTGAGTAGAACCCTTAGAGGCTTCCCTGCAGTGTCTTTCCTACGTCCAGTAAGACACAGACAGATACGTGCTCGCACTAGAGCATGACCTGAATCTAAACATGTGCTCCAGAATGAGCGACAGTCTTCTATCGAGCCCCTCTATCGGTGGCTGATAGCGATGTGATCTAATTGGGTCCAACGTTGGGACGAATTCGGGGGTCGCCATGTCAAAAGATGTTTTTCCTTATGCTTAAAGTTAGTATTTGCAAGAAATAGGCGGCTATCTGAGCATAACTGCAACAGACGATTGCCATTATCTGTTCTTCGAGCCATGGTACCATAAGATCCACCCAGGTGTCTTTCCCTTTCACTTAGTTTACCTACTTGAGCATTAAAGTCACCTGCCACTATTACTACATCAGAACGCCTAGCTTTTCGGAGGTCAGAAAGTTTCCTGTAAAACTCATCTTTTATGTCGTCTGAGCTGCAGTCAGTGGGAAAGTAGGCAGAGACGACGAAGAGGCAACGACGAGTTTCCTTATCTTTCCGAGTCCTTACTGATCCGTTTAGTCGGACAGCGCATAGATGACTGTCTACTGGGATCCAGTCTAAAAGAGCTAGTTCTGCCCTAGGAATTAATGCTATACCTACTCCAGCGAGGCCACGGGAAGCAGCATCAGTGCTTCCAGATACAGGAAGTGTGTATCGAGATGGTTCTTATTTTGATTGGGTGAGATCAAATGAATGACACTACTCGGATCTTGTATGCGCGTCTCGGAGACGCAGCACACATCGATGGTGTAAGATTCTAGAGTCCTATCTAAGGAAGCCTGTTGTCCTATTTGGCACAATGTTCGCACATTAAGAGTTCCTACATGTAGTTTAGAGCGTGGTTTCAGGAGACCAGGAATAACGTTCCGTGTACTCGAATCGTTTGCCCTAGCGGTGCGAGGTGATAAAAGGACGTGGGAAGGGTTAGTCGTGGAGATAACAGAGTTATTAGGAGTAGGAAGGATTTGAAAGTGACCAACTTGGACTCGTGTGCATTTACGGGTATGAGAGCTAATATCACTTCCCAGCTGCCCACACTGTGGAAGGGTATTTCTTGAGGGATCTGAAAAAGAAGTTGGATTAGTATTGGTCTTAACGACCTGGGAGCGTGACCCCAGTGCCCAAGGGACAACTGCTTGAGGCCGGTCACGCACGGCCATTTTGTGGGGAATTTTTGACGTGTTAGCTCCGTTCTTCAAAGGACCTTACCGCCGGAGACGGAAATCCGTGGGATAAGATGAGGTGTTCATTTTTAGGGTCGACCTTTTCTAACCCCAACCCTCCTTGTGGGAAGGCAGCTACGCTGTCATGCTGGTTGTCTGAAGGAAACACCTTACTGCCGTCACACCTCTGTACAGTCAGCAGTAAGACTTCGTCTTCGGACCTTGGGATTGCTGCTTTTAGTCTTACCGCTCTTCAACCGACCTGTCTGGCATGGAAGGACCTTGAGGAACGATTGTTCCAGCCAGTATAGCTTGATTGGTTCATCACGATACGCAAGCCCGACCACCACGTCAAGGTAGCAGCAACGGTCGGGCATGAATGAACTGATTCATTTTCTGAGTCATTAAATTAATTGTCTGCTAAATAATTTTAATTGATTGTTAGAAACGTTATGTTGAGTGGCACACAACCAGTCGTACCGACCAAGTTGCATCCACTTTCTCTTTTCATCAAAATTTTGAGTTAAATGAGATTTCTGATTTATCTTCTTCCAGCTCATTTAATTTTCTTGAATTGTATTTTAAATGGTAATATTTTCAAAGCAGTCAAAATCGATTCCTATTTCTTGGTTTTCATCATGTAAATTTTCTCTTTTATTGTGGTGATATGAGGTGCAAAATTGTGGACCGGAATATGCATGTTAGACGTTGAGTGATTAATAGTAAACAAGGAATTGACTGTTTCTTTGCGTATTGCTTCTATATTTACTTCAAATTGTTAGTTATTAAGTATAGTTTGTACTTTAATTTGGAATAGCATATACATTCAGTCAGAAGCGGTATTATATCCGCTTTTCTAATTTCAGATGATGTTATAGCATGGGTTTACATTTAAAGGGTAGTAATACAGTTTAAAAGGTTGAATCACGAAAAAGGTTGATGAAGGGAACTCATAAACAAAACGACCTTTTATATATACATATGTAAACATCATAATAAGTCAGTTAAAAAGTTATATGAAAAAGGATTTAAACAAACATTTTATGGTAATTCAGTGCGAAATACGAAAGTAATACACAGTAGGAATGATAAAATAGGTTAGAATAGTTATAAAAAGTGAAAAGAACAAAATCCAAAGTGAACATCACTTAACAGTTGTAATAAAAGGCTTATGAAATGATGTAGACAATGTTCTTGACCTTCAGCATTGTAGGTCTCAACTTCGCTGATTTTTGTTTTGGACAACTTTAATCAGTAGTCCTCACTTAAGATGTATGTCACAAAACCAAATACATGAAAAATAACTTGATTACTGATTTTTTAGAAATTATTTATAAACCTGTACATTAGTCTTACTGATTTCAGTAGTCATCTACATATAGGTCGCTTATTTTAAAAGCGATAACTAATTACAAGAAAGAAAGAAGGAATAATTATGAGAACAGAAAACAGTTACTGTATTAAAAGAACATCATTTTCTTGTTCAAAATACGGTTTATTTATTCCGAACAAATAATACATTGAATATCGAGAGTATAATTTGTAACATCTTTTTAAACTGTCTCCTAAAAAAAGGGGTAAACATATACATCCTATATTAGCACAATCATTATCAATTTTATGTGTATTACATTTGCTCTTTCCATCATTTCTACTTTTTATAACCTTATTGAAAGTTTCTTGAGTAAATTCAAAGTAAGATAAAAACAACAACTCAAATTGACAATAATTTTAACTTTCGATAATGCAATGAGAAGACGAAGTTTATTAGAATTATGTAATATATTTGCGCAATACATTTTGAACAATCTGATCACACATATACTTGTTAATACAAACATTTAGTTGAAATTGGTCATAAGGTTAACATCAAGTCAGCATTTGTAGTGTTCTACAAAAGCCTTCAAGGATGTATACTAAGGTTTATTGAAGCCTTGGCTATACGAAAATTGAAACTCCTTTATGTATTCAAAAACAATTTGCTCTTACCCTTTACCTACCCTGGTAATGCTGATTTATTATTCAGAATGGTCATCATATTGTTGTTGTGTACTTTATTTATTTTCTTTATATAGGGATTTTCATGAATACAGCTTAGTATAAAATGTAACGGTTACAATACTTGACATCTGTAAAAACGTCACCTCTAATACCATTTCGTGAGGAAACCGAAGCTTGAAGGTATCACCTTTAATTAACAAACATTTGATACGTTTGAAGATGAGTGTGTGAAATTAGGAAAGCTCAGACGGGTATGGTAGTTTCTTCTAGAAACACTATATATTCCTCATCTACTCCTTATTAATATTTATTTTCCCTTAAAACACTATTATTATTTTTCGTGATTTTTGTGTGATGATATGCAACATAATAATGAAACGCCAGTTTTCAAATATAACAATTAGTTAAGTATCAGTTAAACATTAAACAATGTATCGTGACCATATTTCGTGGAAAAATAAACACCACATAACTGGCTGGAACTTATAATCCTTTTTACAAAATCCTCTTGAAATTACTTCAAAGGATTTCAGTGCAATGCGTAAACGCTTTGTTATGAAATTGTGTGAACTATTTGCTAATTATTTTAAAAATAAGGGTATATCTATGTGGGTAACATGAATTAAATACAGGTAATAAACTTGCTTCAAATACGGCCATCAATTCGAAGATCAAAATACGTTACTTGCCTTTTATGTCAATGATTTATAGTTTAATTATTTTAAAGTAGCTTTGCTGTATTTATTAAGTATTAAGTGATTGATAAGTATAACACTTTTCATATCAGAGCTATGATACACTCTTGAAAGTGATGGAGATAAAGCGCAGATATATAACTTGGATCCTCAAAAGTATTCTGGTGTAAACATTCAGCAGTGGTTTTATGAAAAAATTGGTTATTAATAAATCCAAGCTCATGTGCACCATTGGTTTGGAATCAGGGTTTTCCAACTCCCCTAGGTGGACTCGCCGTGTCCACCAAACCTGTTAAAACGCTTTTCGTCCACTCAATTTTGTAAACAACACCCCCGCCACGAGAAGGTAAGTAAGTAAGATAAGTAAGTAGGACTTCCCTGGCAGAGGCTATATACGCGTGGCCATGTGAGAGTATCTTGAGAGGGAGAGCGGACTCTCCCCACTCTCGGCCGTACCAGGGCATTTGGGGGCATAATAGGAGACAGTAGAATAATTATTTTGATAAGTCTAAGGTGTTGAAGGAATTCAGTAGTAAGAGTTTAATAATTATTTAGAACTCATTTGCCATTAATAACGTTCTTTGGATGAGATTGACATGGTATCATATATTCAAACAATAAAATATTTAAGTTAGCATATAGAGTGAGTTTTCTCTTTTTGAAAGCTTGGGCAAAATTTTAAACCGAAAGACATCGTTTGGATTGTCGACAGTGACAAAAAATAATCGTACAAAGATTCTTCGAGTATTTCAGAAAAACATCAACATTCGTTTTCATATGATTTTTCATCGTAATTATAACATATGTAGGCACCGTTTTCCAGTTGAGTGGTCAGAAAAATACCTAATATCAGGACTCAGTGGCCGAGTGGATAACGCGATGGCGTTTGAAGCGAGGGTACTGGGTTCGAGTCCCAGAGTGAACATCAACTCTGAGATGCAGGTACATCCAGCTGACGAGTCCCAAATAGGACGAAACGCGCTTTGTACTGGATTCCACTGCTAGCCACTATCCATCCATCTCTGCTTACCATGCTTGTGAATTAAGGCTATATTGAGGCAATACGCACAGTATGCACATATGCCAATTAGAGACTGACCAGTTGCAGTCCTAAACGTCAATGGGAATATTCAAACAAACAATACTGAATGAATCTAATATTTTTAAGTTGTATTTCTACCTAATACTGGTATGAGAGTGGTAATGCTTCAAAGGTTTTGTGCATAAACTAACTGAGTTGTAATAAATAAGACAATCGTTCATTAATCAACTGGTATCTTAATCAATAGACAATATATTCATTCTAATGAAAAGCTGTTTCACTAAATGTTAGAAATTTTATCTGTACTCGTTTATCATTATCCTGGAACGATAAACTATAATCAAAATATCCTTGTAGAGACCAGTTATACGATAATTTATTATATCCTGAAATACAACTCCGTAGTAATTTCATCATGGTATGAGTTAATAAGTTTTCAAGATATAAAAAAACAAATGTGAACATAATGAACACCATTTGTAATTTTCGACCTGTATTCACCAATATAGGCCAGAAATTAGTGCAACTATTCAATGTGTTCTGATCTTAAGCGATTCTCACGAATGAATTGAAAACAATTTTTAAAAAAAGTGACCTTTTTTGTCTTAGATGGTTCTTCATAGGAAGCAGGTGATGAACAAATCACTAATATAGGTCATTTACCAGTTGTTGGATAAATATTTTTCCACTTAGATTTCAATGTATACTGCTAAAAGAAGATTACGTCGTATAAATGTCAAGCTGTAAACTATACGAATTTGTTAATCTGACTTCTTTAAATTCAATTATGAACATCTTTTTATAATATGAATCAAAACACTTTTATGTACTTTTATGCTAGTCGAAAAAAAGCCATTTGTCAGTAATGATTTCTTTGAACAAAATTAAACAAGCATATCAAGGTAATTTTCTGAATACTTAGGGAGTAATTTCCATTAATAAAACTGGTTTCCGTCAAGGAATCATGTAAATATCAGAAGGTGTTTTATGGATATTATAGTAATTTCAATAGTTGAGGTCATGAGCCACTGCTGAGGAGTCCCACAATAGGACAAAACGGCCGTCCAGTGAATCCAGGTTTTCCATGGTGGTCTAGCTTCAATTGACTCACGATCTCAACTATTGGAATCATGTAACATTAGAAAACAAAGGATACTTCTTTCATTTAAGACTTTAATACTTCTTAACAGTACAATTCAGTTAGTACTTATAGGTTATAACATAGGATATTAGATCCTTATACACTGATGAATATATCAATAAATCATTGCATAAGGAAACACAATGTTTCTTTTTTTCATCCTCAGTCAGTTTGAGGTATATTGTATGTGAATTATTCTCTCGATTCGTAAATTAATATAATCTAAGTATTCATTGACCAAATACTTGTGAATAAGATAATATTCTGTATTGTATAAAAGCATTTTGCAGAGCAATATACAAGCAAATAAATAATGAAAATAATAACATTCTTCTCTACCTTCTAAATGAACTAAAATTAAACCCATTTCACAAGCCGATGGCCATCTGGACTCACTAGTTAAGTGGAAGGCGTTAAAAGCGAACGGTACTGAGTTTGAGTGCCGAGGTGAACGTCAACTCTGGGATACAGGCACATTCAAGTGGTGAGTTCTAAATAGGGCAAAATGTGTGTCCTGGGTTTCATGCATGCCACCATCAACCTCTACTTGGAACTTGGAAAAAAATTTAAGGTAATTTCAACGATAAAATTTTCAGTAGTTCCATATACATTTTCATAGTAAATATGTTAGAGTTATTCACCGAATCTTCGATAAGTTTATAATTATAAATAAAATACACAGAAATTAAATACAATAACCCATACTCACATGTTGGCTCTTTACTAGGATACGTTCTTTGTTGATAAGAATTGACACTGGCCAAACATTGTGTATGATGCATTTTTCAATTGATATGAATTGAGGATTATGGCATAGCAATGTCCCAAACAACATAGATAAATAAAAACGATAGAATGAGATGAACTGACTAAAACATATATATATATATATAGTGAGAGTGGGCGAGTCCGTGATATGATAATCACTTGAGCCCACTTACTTGTATTCTTATGCATAGAAATATGCCAAAATTACTTGTAGTTATAGTAGTAGTACTTATAGTGGTTGAAATAGATGGAATATGTATTTATTATACAGTAAGATGAAGTAAGAACTATTCCCTTGTCTTAGTTCAAGTGCTGACTAACACGTTAGGTTACATGTGTTTTTTCTTAACTTTTTTTTTCTTCATTTTCCTCTTATTCTCAGTTATATTTACATTTTATTTCTCATTGATATCCTCTATTTTCCCAGTTATCACTTTTAATATCATCGTTTCATGTTAAGTTTAGATCATTTGACAAACCAAATGATAAGTTACATGTAACTAATGAAGATTAAGCAAGAATGAAGCCTAAGATCTATGCATTTTTGATTATTGATTATCAATTTTTGGTTTTACTACTTGTGATTAACATGACAATGATGCTGAGGATAGTGAAAACAATGTAAGTACTTGTAATTTTTTAATTTGGCAAACATAATAATATTAATTATGATTACATACATATATATATATATAGTTCACATGACGTAATTGTTATATAGTGATAAATTTTTGTTAAATTGATTTACATGATATGAAACTGCATAGTTTTCTAGTCATGTTAGATTACAAAAGCTAAATAAGTAGTATCAGAGTTACTACTTGGTAATTTCTATCGATTAATTGAGTAATTAACTCATGATAAACTGATACTTTCTACTGAATATGATTGATCAACTCTTAATATGCTAGTGTTAATTGACTGACGAATTGTAAAATAAGTTTTATGTTATATTCTTAGTGGTTTGTTTGACAAAATAATAAACAATAAAAAGTCGAAGACAATTGAATATTGTGGATTGACTGACAATGGAACACAAAATGAAATATATATACTTCGGTTGAATATATTATTTCTGAAATGTCCTCAGAAAAGTGCTGTGTCCCGATAATAATAATAGTGAATGGTAACTTTGGGATACATTTATGGACCAATACTATGCATATAGTTTTTATCGTTTAATCGCTAAATAACTGAGCTAATCATATTCATGCCCCCCTTATTATGAGCTTTATTTTGAACTATAAACTATTGTTATATGATTTATCATTCTTGAATTATGCCCTGTCTATCACTTGCTATCTCCCTTATTCACAGCCACATTTGGCTGAATATTGTACAAATGTTGTTTCTATTTTATGGCAATTTGGTTGGCATGTAAATTCAGTATGTTTGAAATATAATGATTCATACTGCAGAGGCTGTTATTGGTGTTCCGGACTTAACTGGCTGGACTAGGCAGAAAACAGGACTGACAAGTACGCTAGACTGTTTGTACGAATTTCGTGTTTCATCAGTCCGATCGATAATTCGCTGCTCTCTGATTGGCGGTATTATCACGTTATACATTAACAGGGCGTCCAGGCAGTCACAAGTTATAACAAAAAGATTCTACAATATTCAGACAAAAGGTTTAGGATTGATGCATTTTAAAGGATTTCACTTCTTGTGGTCAATAAAGCTTTTATTACTGATGATTATCGTTGGAATTCTTTCTGAAATAAGTTTTATTTTGTCAGTTGGAAACTGTTTATGTATGTGTGTAAAGTAAGTGTACCCACATATGCATCTGTCTGTTTGTCAGTTCCAGTGAGCGAAGGTACATTGACCGAAGTCAGCAGTTGTCTTCATCGCGCATACGAGAATACAATCTAGCTTATATCTGAGGATATGAGAGAGAAAACATTCGACCATAAAGCATTTAGTTGACAGTTAATACTAAGTTACTTCTTTTTCTAAAAGTCATTTACAAAATTCACTCGCATTTACCTAGATTTCATAATTTCTAACCTAGAACATTTGTACGTTTGATTATGTTTGAAATAGGATCTGAATTCTATGTTCAGAAGAACTGTACATCGTTTTTGTCTTTAACTTGACATTGGCCTATCATTAGCAATGTTGCCATTATTATTTGCCTAATGGGATACGATATGTGTCCCTAAATTTGTAGCTCATTTGCTTCTTCATGTTTGATATGCATGGATTATTTAACAACGTTCCATTCATTTAGTGAGTGAATATTGCATGTAAAAGAAGAATTTTTATTGAGGATTTTGTCATAATCTCTAAATTTAATTTTATATACTTTTTCATCCAGAAAGCTGAGAAGCTCTATGCTAGCATGTTCACAAAAAACATTTGTAGGTAGCATTAGACGATTTAAATGAGGTTCCGGGTGTACGGCATATTTATGTATGTACGGCAACTATCCTACAACCGATATCGATTGTGATTAATTTTAGCTAATCTCTTTTATAAGCATTTAATAGACAATGTTATTTGAACAGTAGCAATTCTCATATTTCTTTGTACCGTTATGATCACTAGATCACATGACAGATTCTAGCTAAAATGTTGATTACTTAAAAATCACTCGATGATTCACTCTCCTCCCATCCTAGTATTAACTTTTGCTTTGCCTTGATGAGCCCTTATGCAATTTGACTATAAATTTGGTTACGTATTTGCTCACATATACTTATTCTCCTTTCCGCTTCAAATTCGCTTGATGTGCTTATTGCTTTTTGATATGCGCTATGCGCTAATAAACTGTAGCTGCCTTCTGATTTTAAACACCGTTGAGATTTATATTTTGACGGTTATCAAGGTGATCGATTAACGAAACAGAAACCACTACAATGCATATATCATTTCATTGAGAAAATATTAAATGACAGTTTATTTAATAAGCAATGATTATGTCTGAAGTTACGATAAGAAGACTGAAATAAATGACTTTTGATTTCGTGCAAAAATACAAAAAAAGGAACGTTAACGAAAGTTTCATTACTGTAATTTATGAGAAAAAAAAAGTATTTAAAAGTTTAAACATACCTTCCTGGAGTACTGTGTTGTTGTACTTGATAAGATCGTTGAAATGATGAACTTGTACTTAAATATTGTTGTGTTTCCATATTTGGTGATCGTCTTGGTACTGAATGACTTGGTGAAATTAGATTTCTGGAATCATTTATATTTTCAATACGATGATGTCTTTCATCAACTAAACTCATTGCACGTCTAAGATTAGCTAATTCTTCTCTTGCCGTTTGTAAATCATTTTCAAGTTTTTTTTCACGTCTAAAAGAGTCATGATTATTTTCAAGACGAACTGAAACAGCAGATTGTGCCTTAAACAAAGAATAAAATTTTAAAAAATAGGGTTAAAAGTATAAACATGGTAATTGAATTTCAAAAAAGTGGATGAAAGTGTACTTTTCATATATGGTTATGTAAAAAATTGAATAAAGATCTTTATTTTTACTTGTAGTCATTATAAAAACTTTTGTACATTCGAGAAGACAAATTGTATATTGAGATCTGGTTTATACCTTATTAGCGGCGCTCAATTACAAAACAATTATTACAAGGTTTGATATATACAATCAACAAATTCGGGAATGGGGCAATAACAAAATAAAAATATTGATTGAAAATAAGGTTTTACCATAAATTCGCTAAAGTGGGAACTAGAGCTGATCAACTCTGACTATGTTCATGGACGTTATTAAGGTAATGGTGTAAACGAAATTTTTTCCGCCTCGATTATAAAAGGGTCATGAAAGCAGTTGAATGTTTTTTATTTTTCAGTGTATCTGCAGCTATAATGAAAAGAAGTACTTCTAAAAACCGACTGAGAAAATAATACCATTGTATTTAGTAGTAAATAACTTTGAAATTCTGCCATGAAATTGTGACTGATAAAGCTCTATAATGACGGGGTAGAAATATTTATCATCGTTGGTATTGGACTTCCCTTGTGCTTCAATACGGATGGACTGAACTTAAAAATCTGAATGACTGAATTCGAATGCAAAACATCTATCATATATCTACACGGGAAGTTAGAAATCTATTTACTAAATAAAAGTTTACGCTAGTTTTATGTAGAAAACATTAGTATCAGATGTCCACTTCACGTCAAAATTCTACCAAAAACACTTATCTTGTCGCTAAAATTAAAGTGAACAAATATACAATAGACATACGAACTAAGATACTAAGTTAGAGTCCCGGAGTGAACATCAACTCTGGGATGCAGGTACATCTACCTGACGAGTCTCAAGTTCGACGAAACGCGCGTCCTGGATTTCACCGCTGGACATCATCCATTTTTCCTCATAAATAAAATATGAGTTTCGGAGTGATATAATACACTTCTTTTGTTTTAAACTTGAGCGTTAATCGGTATGTAACGTTACTCAAAATGGAATATAAATATGCTAAGGGAAATTGCTGTAAGATATAATACACTACTTATAAGTAGTTCTAAATGAAATGTCAAATTTAAGAGATAGCTGTTTTCCTATGAATGCATATATTTCTACGTCAACCAAACACCACATCAAGCTACATTTAGGTATTTAATTGCTAGTCAGTGGTATAATAAACGCCAGTTATGATGTTTTACCTCTACCTTTGTGATTATTGAGGATGTAGTATTTAAAAAAGGTAAAGCCCACATAGTGATCATTTACGGAATTAGAGGGACGAGACTAGATAGAACCAATATACAGTGGATGGTATAAACGAAACAAATTGTTTTCTAACATGTTTGTGTTTATTTCATATAAATAGTTTGGTTTAACAGCAGGAGAATCTAAACCATCCGACTATTTTAGTTTGTAATTTCTGTCAAATAAGTTTCCCGTTTGAATTTTAGTTAATTTTAATATGTTGATTGCGGAGTTATGAAGTCAGTCAAATTTCCTGAGACTGTTCTTCGTTAACGTGAAAAAAAACATTCCTTGTACAAAAATATGAATAATAATAATAATTTATTCATGCTTCAATCGGGTTGATTCAAATTTATTTTACGACTTTTAAACCAATGAATAAATCAATCCTAAACCGCTTTTCTTCAAGAAAATACCTTATCTATATGTGCATTTAACTAGAGAGAAAAAGATTTACAAGTTCATTTCAAACTATACAATAGCCTAACTTGGCAGTCATGTATAAAATATGAGGTGCCTGTATTAGGACAAGTGTAAATATCGATAGAAGTGACTAAGTTTAGGGGGTAATATCGATTTTATGAAAGAAACATAACAATAATGATTAATTAAAGACATAATTATTTAATGTTTTCACTGTAAATGAATGGGTACGTGCTTTAGTATTTTAGAATATAGTCATAATCACCAAACTATATAGTTACGGAAATGAGCAGATACAATTTGGTGGTGCTCTGAATAAGTGAAACCCAATAGACATTAGCTGGACAGAAAAGATTAGCTTCGTGAAAAGTTCTGTTGTAATCTGATAATGTGGAAGAAACTGATTCACACACTCTGGGAGTTTCTCTGGTGCTACCCAAAGAAGCACCAAAAGCACTTATAGTAGAAGGATCCCGTTAATCCAGAATCATCAATGCATCCGTCAAAACAAGTAAGGAGGGGATCACAATGAATGTTATCCACTATTATGCGCCTTTACTCGAACTCTACCAGTCGAGTGAGAGCTTATGGCGAACTGTCATATGATTTTACAACCTCAAGTGGTGTCCGTCAAGGCTGTCCACTATCCCCATTTTTGTTTAACTTCATTATAGACCTGTTGCTGAAAATAACACTCTCTTCGACTGAATTTACAGGAATTGATCTCCTACCAGGGGGACCACTAAGCGACTTAGAATAAGCAGATGACATAGTCCTGTTTGGTGAAGACGCTGACAAAATGCAGAGTCTTCTGTTGGAACTCAGTAATAATGCCAGGATGTTTGGGATGCGATTCTCCCCATCCAAATGTAAATTGTTACTACAGGACTGGCCTGCGTCAACACCCGAACTAAGGATAGGGAGTGAAGTAGTCGAACGCGTCGACAGCTTCACTTATCTTGGAAGTCTGATCATCCCTAATGGGTTAGTGTCTGACGAAATCTCAGCACGGATTCAAAAAGCTCGTTTGGCTTTTGCCAACTTACGTCACCTATGGCGAAGACGAGATATCCGTCTATCAATTAAAGGACGAGTATACTGAGCATCCCCGATCGTTGCTGCTACCTTGACGTGGTGGTCGGGCTTGCCTATCGTGATGAAGCAATCGAGCTATGCTGGCTGGAACAGTCGTTCCTCGAGGTCCTACCATGCCAGACAGGTCGGTTGAAGAGCGGTGAGACTAAAAGCAGCAAACCCAAGGTCCGAAGGCGAAGTCGTACTGCTGACTGTACAGAGGTGTGAAGGCAGTAAGGTGTTTCCTTCAGACAACCAGCATGACAGCGATGCTGCCTTCCCACAAGGAGGGGTGGGGTTAGAAAAGGTCGACCCTAAAAATGCACACCTCGCCTTATCCCACGGATGTCCGTCTCCGGCGGTAAGGTTTTTTTTTTGCAGAACGGAGCTAACACAAAAACTACCCACAAAAAGGTCGTGTGTGACCGACCTCAAGCAGTTGTCCCTTGGGCACTGGGGTCACGCTCTCAGGTCATTAAGACCACTCCTAACCCAATTTCCTTTTCAGGTACCTCTAGAAGAATCCTTCCACGGTGTGGGCAACCGGGAAGTGATAACTGCCCTCATACCTCTAACCTCTAACAGACCACTGTATTCATAATCAATCTCCTTCTTCACTTCCTACTATTCCTTCTACCTTGACTTTCAACACTAAACTTCCTCTCTCGGTTTCCTCCTCAAGTGTCACCATGGCCAACGATTCTAGTGCGCGAAACGCTGTCCCAGGTCTACTAAAACCTCGCTCCAAACTACACATTGGAGCCTTCAACGTACGTACCCTAAGTCAAATCGGTCAACAGGCCTCCTTAGCTAAAACTCTAGAATCTCGTACCATTGATGTATGCTGTGTCTCCGAAACACGCATACAGGATCCCAGTGTGGTCATTCACTTGACCTCACCTCGCCAAAATGGACAGCCGACGAAATACACCCTCCGTGTATCTGGCGACCCGTTGGCTAGTTCTCGCGGACTTGCAGGTGTAGGCATAGCACTAAGTACAAGGGCAGAACAGGCACTACTAGAATGGATCCCCGTTAACAGTCGCCTGTGTGCTGTCCGGCTAAATGGCTCCGTAAGAACTCGGAAGGATAGGGACACACGTCGTTGCCTTTTCGTCGTTTCTGCCTACGCTCCCACTGACTGCAGCCATGATGAAGTAAAAGATGACTTTTACAGAAAACTCTCTGAGCTTCTTCAGAAAGCTAAGCGCTCAGACATAGTAGTCGTAGCGGGTGACTTTAATGCCCAGGTAGGCAGCTTAAATCAAACAAAAAGACATCTAGGTGGGTGTTTTAGTATTCCGGCTCAACGAACCGATAATGGGGATCGTCTGTTGCAACTATGCTCAGACAATCGTTTATTTTTAGCAAGCACTAATTTTAAACATAAGGAGAGACATCGTCTAACATGGCGACCACCTGCACCAAACCAACGATGGACTCAAATAGACCATATTATCATCAGTCATCGTTGGAGAGGCTCAATAGAAGATTGTCGCTCGTATTGGAATACTTGTTTAGACTCTGATCACGCTTTAATACGAGCGCGCATTTGTCTGCGCCTCAATGGACGCAGGAAAAGTACACTAAGAAGACCCATTAGGATTGAACTGGAGGACGAGAAAGCCAAATGCGAATTCCAGAAACAACTGAGTTCACATCTAGGCAGTTCTGTAAACGAGACTGACCCAGATGCTGCTTGGAAAGACACACGAACAGCTGTGGAAACGGCAGTAACATCTATTAGTCATTTAAACCATAGTGCTCCAAAAAACCAGTGGATTTCCTCTAAGTCTATTTCACTGATGGATTCGCGTAAACTCATCCCATCAGACTCTGAACATGACGAAGAGCGTAAACAAATTAGATCTAGGTTAACTAAAAGCCTAAGGAACGATCGTGAGCAGTGGTGGGCAACGAAAGCAAAAGAGATGGAAAAGGCAGCGGCTGTAGGCAACACCAAGCAACTATTCAGACTAATAAAAGAAACCGGAATTAAGAAGTCAAGTGTGAGTGAGACAATCTCGGAAAAAAACGGAACCCTTATCTGCTCTCAACCTAAACGTTTAGAACGATGGGCGGAACACTTTAAGGAGCAGTTTAGCTGGCCTTCAGCTACTGCACAACTGCCCACTATTCCCAGAAAACCTGAATGGAACATTGAAGTAGGCCCCTCGACCCTACTTGAAGTTCAAAAGGCTATAGGTAATCTGAAACGAGGAAGAGCAGCTGGTCCTGATGGATTGGTTCCAGAGGTTTTTAAATACGGTGGTCCAATTTTAGCGATTAGGTTGACTAATATTCTGGCAAAAATCTGGGAGACGGATGTAATCCCATCCGACTGGTCACAATCACTGATTGTCCCAATATATAAAAAGGGGTCATTGTTGATTTGTTGATTTATCTGAGTTTTCACTATCGTTTTAGACAAATTCATGTAAAAGTCTGCATGTTTTTGTCCAGAACACCAATCAAAAAAGAATCTAATTAAGTATCTAAACAGTAGTAAAATTTAAGGGCAACAAAACAAGCTGTTAGTTTATTGTAGATTCTTACTGCCATTTATATTGTCTAAATAGGTAATGAAAATCTAACGACTAAATCATTTAACCTAGAGAACATAGTACCTTCAAAGATAGACACGTTTCAAAGAATCATGATCACTTGGTTATTGTATTATATCTGATATCACATATGTTGATATTGCATCATTTTCATTAAATACACCGAAAAATATATCTACTTCATAATCATTTGTATTCAAATGTGGTATGAGGTCGTGAAAGTAAATGTGATTGGTCACTGAATGTGGGCAACCAGGAAATTGACTGCTTGTAATGTGTACAATAATGTCTAGTATTACTCTGGGTCTTTATTTTTGGTTGTGAATCGGGTACCTGATATAACATGAACTAGACTGTTTATGGAGGATCGTTTGAGTATCCAGCCTAGAGCTGTTATAAACTCGGTCACCTACACCAATCTTATTATCATATTAATGTAGTCTACCACAGAAAGGAAAATGTATTTATTACCCATTTTTAATCAAAATGGTTATTTTATTGACATAATTAATGTAGAATACTGCTTGGATATCAGTTGAATGACCAATAGAAAAATGATTTAATTGTATTTTTACAAACCCTAAAACATCCATTCCATTTGAAGTATTTTATAAAGAAGAAATTTATAATTTATAATTAAGACAAAACAAAAACAGAGGTGATTCATTCGATTCAATATTTTGGTGTAGTTCAATATGTCATTCAGATTTATAAGGAAGTCTGTGTTATCATGCAAATGAACATACGAATAGGTGTATCTGTATGGGTATGTGTGGCCATATTAGTTGCCTGTATATCGAAATACAATAATAATACTGATAAATGCATGTTACATTTTGACTATAAAATGAAGACTTTGATTGTGTATTCGGCCATCTTTTGTTTACTTTGGTTTGAGCGTTTTTGGTCAATCTTTTTGTGTTCTTTTATGATGACTACAGTAACAACCATGGATAGGAGTCTTAACCTCAAGATTATTACTGTCAAAACTTAAGGATCTTATATTTATGCGATGATGTTTGCATGCTATCATATGGTGGTTTTAAATGCAACGTAAGGTACTTGATCTTTACACTCAGTGATTACTGTACGGTAAGTACTATAATACATAGTTCTGATAATCCTCGTCTTCTTATTATACTATAGAAACTATAATATTTGTCTATTCCTTAATGGTGATGGGATTCTTTCGACCAAGTTACAGTAGGACCACTAGTGTAAACAAATTACCATAGGATACACAATACTTCAATGTCAGGTAGTTGGATACAATGGGTAGGGAATTCTATCGGATCTAGGTTTAGTTCTGATTGGTGCTCGTCTGCAATCACCAGGGTACTGATGTTTCATATATACACCTCGAACATGTATTAATTGAATTCACAGAGGAGTTTACACTAAGAGATTCGGGTCACCAGTGAACTTCTTTGTCGTAACTAGTGTCATGATCTTCTAATTATTTGTCTCTCATCAAGAACAATCTATTACATCATAAAATAAATTCATGTTGCTTCATTTATTTGAACATACTAACTAGAAATGAAAAAGAATAAGCACAAAATAGGATATAATAACCAACATATATTAGAATTGTAGTTTGTTGTTCTACTCAATTTCCATTGTGAACTTTAGATCATCGAAGACGTTGTTAAGAAAATTATAGGTATAACTTTTTAATGATAATTAATGTGACTTCGATAAAATGAATCAACATTTTTGGCTTGATCATTGTTAAAATTGAGGCTTTAACTCTCGACATTAATGCGCTAGCAGTAAATCCTGATATTGGTGATCCCATTGGTGTTCCTTTCATTTGTTCGTAAATTTTAATGTTGAATTAAAAATATGTTGTTAGACATACATCGATGAATTCTAGTAAACTATAACTTACAAGCTCTGTGTACGTTATAAGATTTATATCACTCAAAAGAAGCTGGATAAAGTGTCTTCTGTTAACTTTGGTTAAATTGAGCTGAGTAAGGCTGTAGCATCAAATGATATTATCAATTCACCGTTGTTGATTTTAAATTTTAAAATCTTATCCAAAAATTGTATGGAAGATTTAACGGAATGATCGAATGAATCCACCAAATGTCCAAATATTTTTGAATTTTCTATTGATAAATTTTATATTGTGGTTCTAGGAAGTGATACAATTGAGTGCAGTGGGACATTTGGTTTGTGTAGATATGGCTTACCATCACTGATCTTGTTTGTATATCTTTCCTGCACTGAAATGTTTTTTAAAGTCTAGGAAACTGGTTGTTCAGCATTTTGACTGGATTATTGTCCATCAATCTGTACACGTTTTCATTCTCAATTAGCTCCTAGGTTTTCCTGGTATTTTCTCTTAGCCTTTAGTCCGCCAGAAGGAAGAGATAAAAATGTGTAACCATTACATAATAGACTCATCAAAGATTGCTCTTATATCAAAGACTAACTTCTTTGTGGCTGATATCCGTCATAGGTTAAGCTTAGCTGGAGTGCTATTAAAAACTAATGAAAACTGGGTGAATATATTGTCCTAATATGAGACTTCTCAGCAGTACGTATCCTCTCTTTTCACGAAATTTATCTCTCCCTTAAGTGACCTTTTCAGAGTAACTAGTTAATCTGTATTTACACATCTAAACTAGTGGATTGGTTATAAGTAAGTTGAGACGATATTTTATGTTTGTGTAAGACTATTGCAGCCTGGTCAACAACATTCGATAAACACTAAGAGATAAACAAACATGACATTGTTTACTACTCAGCGAAAAATTGGTGTGCATATCTCGATCCTACAGTTTAGTCTTGCGCTGGACAGCTCAGAGATAACTTCTCGGACTGCGATGCCGGATGATGCAAGTTGAAGTCCTACAGATGTGCCTTTCTGATTAGTTAATACTATTTTGTCATGAAGAATGGTATGACTGGAGTGGTAACAATTTTTTTTCTATTTTGAAGATTTTATGTTGTTTTGCTGAAAGAATAATGAGCAGCTATTCCATGACACAGCTTACCAACTCTTTATGAAATGCACGTTTTCTACATTTATGCATTATGTACTTGATTGATAACGCCTTCTAATTCAACTACTTTGTAACTACATGCCTTATTTCTGTGCTACAAGTCAATGTGATAATAATTGTAAAAGTCTAAAAGAATATCTCTGGAAAAACATCAAAGTGGTTATTTGAAAAAACCGATTTTTATGCTTACGTCTGTGGGTCCACAATCAGGATCAATAGTTAAATGAATTTGATTGAATTTTCGAGGAGCAACGGGTGGACGTTGTTTCAATGTTGTAGTAAATACGGACTGATGTCGTGGAGATGTTGAAAAAGAATTAAATTTACTGGTACTGGTACTTTTTCCAAAATTATCTATTCGATCTGAATAAAAAGTTGAATGTTTGTGATAATTCGAGTGTAAAGAATCATTAAAATTATGTGCGTCAGTATTGTAACCAGTGACAGAAGCAGATCTACTACTCGGAGTATATCGATTATCTGGATAAACTTCGTCATGAAACAATTGTTTCCGTGGTGTTTGCGAAGAATAATATGGTTTTGAATTATAATGTGTATTAGATGGAGGCGGAAGACCAGCGGCCATATTCATACTTGTTAAACGTAATTCTTCCAATAAACGATCAAGTTCTTGTGTTCCGGCCATGATGTTAAGATAACGTGCTGCTTCGACTAAATCTTCTGTTGGATAGGAAGTTTGTACAAGCTCTAGATATATCGTATATTTGAAAAAAAGAAAGATGTTTTATTCTCAAAATAAATATTCACTGTTCAATTGATTGAATTTGTTGTGGATAGATTTATTTATAGAAAATGTCTATGTATTGAAATTTGATGATATTCACAGTAAAATTAATAAAATGTGACTCCATGATACTGCAAAATGTCAGGTCATTAGCTAATAATATGTTACATGAAAGTTACATATTGTAACAAAACAGGTTAACTGTACAAGATAAATGTCTGAGTTAGTTAAGATATGCTTAGGCAAATACTTAATTTGAATACATTGTTAAGGGTAAATATGGTGAACTAAGGATATGTTTTTTCTAGTTGTAAGTAGACTGATCATTAGGTAATTAAATATTAACTGGATCATTATGGTAGACAGCGGTGATGTGAATTACAGAACTTAATTAATATTTAAATCACATCTTGGTTTAACACAATAAATTCAAACAAATATGTTTGTGTTCATTTTATTAACATGAGAAGAATAAACAAAAGTTGACCTGATGAATAGTAACTTAAGGAAAAAATTAAGCTTTCGTAGAATTGATGAAGTTCATAGCTGGTACTAACCAGTGGAGAGTTAACGATCGAACGTACGTCACCGTTTTGATTTCATGACAATGAAAACAAATAAGCATTTTAGATAATTTCTATATTCAATTACTTTTTAAATCTCGTCAGTTAGTGAGGGTCAACATAAAACTAGGAATATATGCACGTTAGTTTGTGGAATATTCAACACTATCAATTATCATCTTTTTAAGTATATACATGCATAACATCATATTCTGTGTCACGATCAAGTTTGCTTGTACAAGTCATTATATTTTTAAACCCAGTTAATATTAAATTAGCTATTTTAATAAATACTCAAGATTTATACTATGAATCTCAACTTTGATTTTTTTTTAAAATACAGTGCACATGGTTAATGAACTATGATGAGATGAAATGTTGTAGTTTCCCGTTATTGTCGCTAAGGATCGCAAACCATTAGTCTCTATCGGCATATAAGTATCCTAAACGAAATAACTAGATAATTTCATTTATTTGGAAGTTTTCAATAAGGTTGAAGTGTCCAGCAGAAGAATGCAACAGATGTGTTCGTTCCATTTTGAGCTCGTTAGATGGGTAAACAAACAACTCAGTGTTGAAGTTCATACTGAAACTAAGGGTCATCACCTTTCTTTTCATACGCCAATAAATTATCGATTAGGCTCCAGATAGTTACTACCCTACCTAAGCTTGGTAAATATTTATGTCTAAATGACTTTATCAAAGTAATCCATTCCAGATACACATGTGACAACAGAAATTAATACTTTTCAGTCCTTAATAATAACAATGAGAAAATGTAAAAGCCTTCAAATGAAGTTCGGGCACGTTATAAAAGTCAGCGAGTATCTGGATTTTGTAGATTACGCTCTTTGTAAAATTAAACAAATTAGACTAATTCTAACTATCTCTTTTAACGAAGGATTTCAAAAATATTAAAGGTAGATAGGAGAATTATTACGATGAAATTAGAGACTGAATTTAGAAAGTACTTTATAGGGTCATAATATTGAGAGTCTTATATATCTGGTAAAGATCCTATGAATAACAGTGGTTATTCATAGATGTTTGTCTGTTATGGGGAAAGTTATGCTCATGATAGATAAAGCTCGTACAGCGTCAAAGTTCTAGTCAAACATAACATTGGTCACTACTCAGTGATTAATCAGCCGTGCGCATCTCAGTCCTACAAGAGGTCTGTCATGCCCCTATTAGCTCAGTGGTCACTTTGGCTGTCGCGAACTTGTTACCTTGAGGGAGCCTCGTTTCCCTTAATATTTGAAGTGTGCCGTTCTGGCCAGTACCAACTAGCACAAAACCTAGATCCAGTATTTCCTGTCGACTATTTCTAACTACGTAATATAATTATGACCAATATCAATCAAACCATGTTCTTTTGATATTATCAGATGAAAGAGCAAATGATGTAGACTATGGGTTACAAGAGACTCACTAGATACATAAATGAAAAATTTATAGTAATGATTGCAATAATAATGGCATCAACGTACAGTAATACGACATCGAAACTGAATGAGAGATTATCACAATAGAGCGTGGTACAATATCGGTGATGAAAATGTTTGTTCAAAAAGTAATGAATTAGTGAAGGAAAATACCAAAACAAGAAAAAATCTTATCAAACACCCTTAAAATTGATTAGAAATTCGCCTTGAGATGAATATTTGTATATAAAACCGTTCTAGCTACATTCATGATAAATTTATTTAGGAAGGGGCAACCGAAACATGTCATCTTTATTTCTATAAGGTTTCAAATAGTCTGTGAATTGAAATCCATTGCTTTGGTCCCGTTGTCTTACTTTGAGTATCTTCGTGAAGGTTATTATTCTACGTGTTTTACTACTCAACCAATAATACTTATTTCGCTCCACCAATCTCTAAATTCTTGTTTTGTGTAAATGACATAAAGTTGGCAGTCGGCCAGATGTCCAAATAATAATTTCTAAATAGTTCACGTTAATGACAAAATTGTTACTTAATCATAGCGAATTTACACTCCCCCTCCTAGCTTATGTCTATGAACAACGTTTATTCTATTCATATAAATTATGATCTAAGTTACATAGACTTCCTAAATAGCAAGAAATTTCTATGAACAAGTAGTAACTACCATTCATATTTGGTTATGAGATTAACAGTCTGATTTTTGTGAACAGAAATTTGTCGCGAGAGTGGATCTTATAATTAACAACAAGATGAATGATAATGGATTCACTAAACCGGTCGCAGACGAAATATTTAATTTAAATTTCTAATATCATCTCATCACTGTCATTATGTTGAAAAAAAGAAATAGCAATCGGTATTAATCTTAATTTTAAGTATTTATGCCTACTAACTTCAATTATCTCATATTAGATAATGTGTACCATGATGGTCAGCCATTTGGACTAGTGGATAAATGGCAACCTGACAGATAGAAGTCAAATAGAGTAAATACACTTGTTTTGCAGGAAGCTAAAAGTAACCCGAATAAGTCAGTGGTAATGTCTCTAACCGTGACACGATTCAGAATCTAATGTGAGGCATCAGTCCCTTGCTAATGGATATTAACGTACCGTGAAACTTAGTTCCACTGGGTTCTGTTAGTGAACTTTAACTATTTATTAACACATAATTACCAACACAATTTCGGATCAGTTGAAAAAATCAGTACAATGCAACGTTGAATTCGATGAGAACTAAAATTCAGACACTATGACTTTGGTAACTATAAAGTAGCCAATTAATGTTGATACATCACTTTTATTGTTTCATAAACCGTCTTGTCATATCTATCAATTTATATTTCGTTTACAAATGAAAAAAAACAGTACGAAGATATTCTTTTTTACTAATTTACTGAATTATTATAATCTAGTCCCTGTAGTTCACATAAAATATAAAGATGAAGACAGCTAGTACAGCAGCAGAGTCTGCAGCAGTAGATCTCAACATACACAAGGCTAAAACCAACATTCTCAAATACAACACGCAGAACACCAACCAAACCAATCACATCTGATGGAGAAACTATGGAGGAGAAGGAAACGTTCACATACCCAGGCAACATCATCGATGAACAAGGAGAATCTGATGCAGATATGAAGCCTAGGCTTGGCAAAGCAAGGACAGTATTCCTATAACTGAACAACATATAGAACTCAAAACAACTGTCTGTCAACCAATATCAATGTCAGAATCTTCAATTCGAACGTCAAGTCAGTTGATTCTATTGTATGGAGCTGAAACTTGCAGAACTACCACAACCATCATCGAAAAGTACAAGTATTTATAAACAATTATTTTCACATTTTACTCAATGTCCGTTGACCGGATACCATCAACATCAGCATACTGTGAAAGGGAACAAACCAGTTTCCATCTGAAGATGAAATTAGGAAAAAATGTTGGAGGTGGATAGGAAACACATTGACGAAATCATCAAACTGCATTACGAGGCAAGCGCCAACTTGGAATTCCGAATGGAAACGGAGAAGAGGAATATCAAAGAACACACTGTGTCGGGAGCGGGTAACAAACATCAAAATAATGACTAGAAACTGGATGATAGGAGGTATGACAGAGGTGAATGTAGAATGTTGGTAGGTGGCCTATGGTTGTCCATGTGGGATAATAGGCATTATATACATATATATAATGGGAAGGTAAGGGGAGTTTGACTAAATTCTTATTGTCTTATTACATATGAATGAAAACGGAAGATAAGAAGACCATGGAAAACACTGTATCGGGAACCGGAAACAAACATCAAAAGAATGATTAGAAACTGGAGATAACTGGAAAGTAGAACGAATGTTAGACAGAGTTAGATTTAAAACCCTTCTAACTGGCTTATACTCCTCCATGATATGAAGTAACAGGTGTAAATTAGTAAATAGTCTATGTACTTCATTTTGACAAAACTTTGAATTTAAATTATTATACATTTTTGTTTTCATTCATTTACATGTGTGTTCACTAAATATTTAAATAAGTAAACTTCTTTTTCTTTCTCTCTTTCTTTCTTCCTCTTTTTTACGTAACTAACTAGATAATGTCTGAATTATATTTTTTTTTAAATGTAAAATATTCATAACAAATTTTACATTGATTTTTTTTTGTTGCTTTTTCGATAGTTACAAGAAATATTATTGATTAATCGGTTTTGTTTTGTCTCTTTAAAAAAAATTTTAAAAAAAAATATTTCACTTTTTATCTAACTCAATAATCAATTTATTATTATTCTATATTGAGTTGATTGATGAAATTCAATTTGATACCTAAATAGAATTGAGTTAGTTATTAAGACAATAATAATAAATAACTGCAGTAATGATGAAGGTTTGTTTTATTTCAGAAAGGGTTTTTTTGTGGATATTATGATAATTTTAATAGTTGAGATTATGAGTCAATTGA